CCCCCCCCCATTCAGACAATATTTGCAAAATGATCTAAAAATTAATTTTCACTCATTTGTAAAAATGAATGAATTTTTTTTATTTTTCTTAAATTAATCTTCACTCGTTTGGACCAATGCACTAATATTCAAATAATAAAATCAGTAGAATTGTTCTCTAAATTACGATCATGTGAAGCCTAAATAGAAGCTTTGACGGTCAACTAAAAATGTTGAAAACTCAACGAAAAGAAATGACAAAAAAACCTCAAAAAAGTACCTTTTTTTTCTAAAGTTTCTTTCTTCATTTCTTACGTGTATTTCATTCGCTTAAACAGGATTCAAGTTTCTTAAATTACATTTCAAGCATCTTAAATAAACAAAGTAACAAAGAAAATGATTCACTCAGGTACAAACACTTGCAAAATGCTCAAGATAAATATAAATCGCCCCTGGAACGTGGCAAAACGTTGTCCCTTCAGTTTCTATAAGATTCAGCTCCCAATCGAGCCAATTTATCAGCTTCCTCATTCCCCTGGATACCAGAATGTCCTCTCACGTGATTCTGTATTCAAAAAATACTAAAAGATTATTTGTACATTTTTTTAAATCCCCAAACGAAGCAAAATTTCCATGCAAACTCTTTCATTTCATTCAAAAACTCACGAATTCATAATCCAATCCAGCGAGAGCCTTCTCCATCGCCATCAACTCCTCTTTATTTATTACAGGTTGATTGGATGAGGTTTTCCAGCCCCTGCGCTTCCACCCAGGCATCCACTGGGTCAGGCAACTAATCAGGAACTGGGAATCAGTGTTTATTCTTATCTTGCTGATTCCATGCTTCTTGGAGATTAGAGCGGCCTCTGTCACAGCCTGAATCTCTGCATTGTTGTTTGTTGCACGACCTACCACTGGTTTAGCAACATTTCTGCAGCAAAACATGTGGAATTGATGGATAAAATTAGATCGAGGAATTTATTGATGAAAGGAAAAGAGGAGAAATGATCAATTGTGCACTTATATTGTAAAATAGTAATTTTTGGAGAAAATTTCAAAGGAATTTTTTTATTTCTGCGAAATCCAATTTTCAAAATGCAATTGAAGTTTGTTCGATTCAAAATTATTTCCACAATCAGTAGGTTTAGAAGAAAATGATAAAAAAAATTCTCCTGACATTTTCTCCCAAAAATACTCGTTATATAAATAATTTGACAATTAAAAAGTACAGAAAATTCACTGGAGCATTGAATTGGGATTTTTATGGTATTCAAGTTGATTAAATATGCTATGATCTCAATAATGACTAGTCTTAGGAGGAAATGTCACAAAACTTTTTTGTAGTTGAAGAAATACTCTAAAAAATTTTCTTCTGACATTTTCACCTAAAAATCCTCGTTATCTGAATAATTTGACAATTACAAAATATAGAAAATCCACTGGAGCATTGAATTGGGATTTGTATGGAATTCAAGTTAATTAAATATGCAATTATCTCACTAATGAGTAATTTTGCAACAAAAAGTCAAAATGGCTTTCGTCCAGACCAACAAATTCTGCGCAAAAATGTCTCCTAACAATTCCTTTTCTCCTCATTGAAGAGGTAATTTCCAATTGTTAAAAACAAAAACCTTGTGTCTTCCACTCACAAAGGATGATCATCTCCAAAGTAGACCCCAAAACCAGCCTTGGCTCCATCATATCCGTTCCCAGAGCATGCGCCATCAGTGAAAATGTCCACACGACCCTCAGAATCAGTCGTAAAAGCAATGGGATACTTGCGACCCTCTTCAAAACCCTTCCTCCCTTTCTCGAAACGCAGGAACTCTTCCATGTCAGGGGAACCCTCTCTCTTCTTCTTCTCAGTCCTCTTCATCTTGTTGTCTCTGGGAGTTGTTGAATAGGGCTGGTACCTCGCTGATGCTTTTTCAGTCCTCTCTTTTCCCCCAGCCCCTGAGGAGCCGCCACCAATAAAGGTCTGAGCCTCTGCTTGTGAATTGAATTTCTTAAAAGCAGCCCCAGGAAACCTATCCACTTGTGCTTTACACTCATCCCTGGATCAGAAACAATACATCATTGATTAATTGGTAATTACATGACATAGCACCTTGAATTTCTCAGGGACACTGATAGGTAAATATTAAATTTTTCATACACTGAGAGAAAAGCAAACACGTTGTAAAACAAGTCTTGTTTGGGCCAACAAAATCGCTAGTTCAAAATTGCCAAAAAAGAATTTGTTTGGTCCGAATGTGAAAGTCTCAAACATGAATAATTGTTCTGCTTTCGACAGGAATGAAATATTTGGCTCAAGAGGCGGATAATTCACACCAGACGGTGCCTTTTCAGGATGAGAATATCTCATATAGAGGAAAATTTATTAACTCATATTTTATCTCTAAGTTCCAAGATTGCTATCATATCATTATTATTGTTTCATTTAAGGGTTCATTTCTTATCTGTAATTATTAGACAGCCGAAACGAAAAAATACTATCCCTTGTTTCGCATGAAACAAAGATTTTTCGGGAGCAAAATACGTATGGGAGTATTGAATAACGAAGGAGTAGTGCTAGAAATGACATTTCTTGCGTCGACAGAGAATGCAATTTTTTTTTAACTACTAAATCTATTTTTGCGACAAAAATTTATCATTCCGGCGCACTCTCTGCATGTTTGGCACAAAAAAAATCCTTTTTCGATAAATTTCAAAAAACTATTTTCTTGTCACAAGCAAGACTTGTTTGAGAACTCTGTTATTTTTCTCTCAGTGTATGTAATCTTGAAGTATTTCGACGTAGGGGAGGATGGGGTAAAATGGACACTGGACTTTTTAAAAATTACTCATAACCCAGAAATGAAGTTTTATCAATTGAGCACAGTTTAGGCTCATTACAAAGGGAAAGAAATGTCCTTTGCATTGAAAAAAAAATATTGGATTTCATCAAGCTGTCATTAACATTTAAAAAAAGTCAAGTGTCCATTTTACCCCCTCCCCTATATTGTCTCGGAAACAAAAAAAATGATTAAAAAATTGATTAATTAATCAATTAATTGAATTGTCGACGAAAAATGAAATGAAAAAAATTTTATGCAATTGAACTCACCAAGACATGTAAATGCCAGGATTACGACCTTTTGCCACAGCATAATAGGGCATTTTTAGTAATTTTATGGGTGAATGGTAGTTAAATCCGAAAATGAATCTTCTCATTCACGTGGAAATTCGTTAAATATCGTTCTTATTCTTGAGTTATGAAGAGGCGGGAGGAATGAAAACAATGCATGATGTAAACATCAACGTGTGGAAACGTGTTCGAGGTTAAATGTGCACCCCTACCTCACTCATTTAGTCTCGCACACCACCATATTTGTTTACTTGACAAGAATGAGGGTTTGACGCTTAGATTTGGAGTTTCAATTTTAGTTTTTTTTTTGTTAATTTTTCGTTGTTTTTATCGTTGTTTTCCGGTTAATTTCTCGATTTTGACGGGACTGAAAGATTTACAGTCATGAAGAACATCAAAACAAGGTGAGGAGTGGAATTTCATTAGTTTTGGAGCTTTTAACCTCAATTTTTAGAAAATTTCATCGAAATTGTCTTCATAAATGAGAAGAATTTATTTACAAATTGCATCGTTCTTGAATTGTGGAATAATTAATGGTTAATCATCTTCAGTAAAAGCATGACGTTCATGATTTTTTCATCATAATTAGCTGATCCCAATAATTGATTGATTTTTTGGACCAAATTTAATAAAATAACGCGAGGTTGGTAGAGTGAAATTCCTAGAATTGGGTCTCATTTTGCAAGTATTTTTACAATCTTTAAAATGAGAGGTGATTCGTTACAATCGTACCGTCCAATCAAAAGATATTACGATTTCACTTCCTCTTTTTTAAAATGAATTTCTAAATTAATAAAATCGATTATTTATATTGTGAATAATTTTTTATTCGACTTTTTCGTCTGTTAATTGGATGATCTTAGTAATGGAAAAGAGGCACTCGAGCGATTTGGTGACCAAGGTGGCTTTTTCGATCTCGTTCTGAAGCCAATGTTCCAGCAGGGACACGAGGGTGAACTCCTGAGTTGGCTGAAAGAGACATCCCTCATCAGATCCTCAATCAGTTGTCCTCAGCCTGAGTGCCAGGGTCGAAGCATGACCTGGGCTGGGGCGAGACTGAGGGACAGGTACAACTGGGTCTGTCCCACCTGCAGTAAGAAACAGACCATCAGGGAGGGCTGTTTCTTCAACGGGGTCAAAACTGATTTCAAAAGTGCACTTATGCTCGTCCTCGCTTGGTGCCAGGATGTGCCTTCCGAGATCGCTGCTCAGCAATTGGGTGAGACAAAATTGGCCAGACTGACATCATGAAAATGAATCTTTTGTTAAAGATCTTAAAATCATAAAATCATAAAATCATACGTAAGAAATTGTTTGCTAGATTAAGTCAAACCAAATCAAATTATGCAGGGATTTAGGAGGAAAAATCTCCTGACATTTTCTCTTGAAGCCTCTTACAATCGAGATAATTTTTCAATTGGAAAAACAAAATTTGTGGATTTGAATGTTATTTTCAGAGATTAAAGAACATATCGCCAAGAAAGTTTACGAAAAATGTGGAAAAATATGTGAATATTATATTGATGCACACCCAGAGGAGTTTCAAGTTGGTGGCCCAGGGATGGTTCTGATCGTCGATGAGTTTCCTGGAGGATTCATGATGCCAGAGGGCATGGACGTGATGACAACGAAAAAGAGGAATAATAATTCACATACGATACTCTGTATTGCTGAAGCCAACTGCATTCCTCCGAAAATGTGGTTGCACATGATTCAGGCGATGCCCGAGGTAAAAATCAAAAGACAACTACAAATAAAAGTGTTCATTTCTTCAGAATTGAATATAAATTATTAAAGGTATAATTTAATTATTTGGAATTTTTTGTTTTCTTCAACGAATCAACAAATCAATAATTTTGAATTATTTATTTGTATTTTCATCGTTGAGAGGTAATGAAGTAAAGAACGACTGCAAATAAAGATAAAAAATCACATATAAAGATGTAAATAAAATTTGAAAAATTGTCAATGTTGAAAATTAATAATTTTGGATTGTTCATTTGGTTTTTAGCCCCTACCAAAGACAGTAAAAGGAAAAATGCCCATTCAGAGGTGTGGAATGGTGGAAGAAGCTATAAGAATTATCACGAAACAAGTTCTACCAGGGAGTTTCCTGGTTGCCAATCGTCGGGCTCGGTGCTGCAATTACGAGTCTCTCCAGGAGCTCAAGCAATATGGAGTGTTCAGTGTGGAATATTTACAGACTTTCGATAGTTTTGGTCATCAAAAACTACTCGGCAATCTAGGTAAACTTTTATTAGTATGTTTAATAAAAGTATCAAATTTTCCTTTAAAAAAATGTAAATTTTTGTTTCATAAAAAAAGGAAAAGACCGTATTTTTATTAATTCTTCTCTGAAAGTTATTTATTTATATTTTCAATTAGATCATTAAAAAAATTATTAAAAATGTCTTCAGACCCCTCAACATTACTTCAAAAAATCGAAACGCAAAAGTTGAAATTGCGAATTCTTCGATTTGTTAGATTATTAATTAAATAATAATAATAATTGAATATTTATTAATTATCAATTGATGTTTTATTTCGTTATGTTCACTCAATCGTTCAGGTACAATTTGGCAAAATGGTGTGGACATCTGCGAAGAAATCCAGGAGTCGACTCGTTCCCTGGCTCAATCAATAATCTCAACTCACCTCTGGAAGCAGAGATTCGGCTATCCATCGTCCTCCTCTCCAGCTTTCCAGTACATGCTCAATCACATAACCGAGTGTTATCGTTTCACATAAGTTGAATTTTTCTAATCCGCGAATTTTACCTCATTAAGTTTAAAAAAATGAGAGAAAGCTATCAAATTTTCAGTTTGAGAGATTGAGGAAAAACGACCCATCTTCAATCTCCAATAACTGGAGAACGGCACAGTGAAATTTCTTGAATTTTTCTTCATTTTCGAGGTATTTTTTCAAGCTTTAAAATGAATTTTGACTCGTCAAAATCCCGTCCTTCGGTCAGGAGATATTGACGATTGAAGAAGGATCGTTTTACCTGATATTTTTCTGAAAAATTGATGAACGTTAGTTCCAGTTGCAGACGAATTTCTGAGCAATAGCCTCTCCCCGAGGCGCATATCTGTATTCTCCAATTATATTATGTATTAAGAATGTCTTCCAAATGAACTTCGGACGACACTGAGACTGACCCGCAAGTGCCTCTCGATATTAAAAACGAAAGTGACGATGAAAACTTGAAAAAAAATTGATGATAATTCGATGGCAATTAATCATGATATTGTTGAAATGTTTTTGATATTCTATAATCGAACTAGAGAATAATTATGCAGCTTTAATTGCACAAATATTAATGGAATCAATTATATTTACAATTAGTTCTTTTCCCTCATTAATTCGACATTTATTTCAATTATTCGCACAGAAGTTACGTTAAATCGCACAATTATAGTATTCCCTTTTGTTACAAAAAAATCTATAGAATATTCTACTGTCTTGTACTGCTTACAAACTGTAGAAAATATTTTTTAAAATAAATCTCGTTATTAAAACGTGACGAAATGGATTTTTTGGGCGTTTTGGACGGAATTCATCACTCAGAGGGTCTCGTTCATCATGTTTTTGTACTCTCTCTGGTCATTCAGGAGTTTTTTGAAGACTTTGTACTTCCTCACGTGATATCTGAGGAGAAATCAACAAAAAAAAACAATTTTAGTGGATTTAATTAACAAATTTATCAATTTTTTAATTCCAAAAAATTAATTCTTTGAAACATCGGCGAGGTCTCAATTAATTGATAGTTGATCAATTGATTAACTGATTGATAACAAATTCATCAATTAACTTAATTAATTGATTAATTAATTATTCAATTAAGTTATTTTATCATTTTATTAAAAACTCGACAAATTCGTTGAATTGATGAATTCCTCGAATTTATTTTCAATAAAAAAAATTGAAAGAAAATTGTGAAAAAAATGCTTACTGATAAGAAACAGATCTAGGTTTCACGAGACTTCCACTGCCTGCCATCGCCCTTATGGCTTTGCTGACCGAGGGATACGCGCCAGCAGCACAGGATCCTAATATCGCAGACCCCAGGAGCACAGACTCCCTCTCAGAGGGAATTAAAACTGGGAGATTGAGAACGTCTGCATGAATTTGCACGAACAAAGGATTCTGGCTCAATCCACCGCATATCAGGATCGTTTCGATGGCATATCCCGACTCTGACAGGGATTCAAGAATGTGTTTAGTCCCATACTGGCAGAAAAAAATAGTAATCAGGTGTTGAACAATTTTAGAGAAAGAAATTAGTAAAAACAACATTTCTTTCGACATTTTTCGTGAGATAATTACTTATTTAATAAATATATTGAGTTACGGCCCGGGTGTACTATCTTTCGAATGTTATATGGATTTTTTTTATCTTTCGTACGCCAGAACTGTCAATTGAGTGGTACATCATGTAGAAATTCCCAAAAACTATGATAGAATGATAAAAAAAATAGAAAAAGTTCTGAACTTTTTCAAAGAGCATTTTTAATTGAGATTCAGAATGAGTTGACAAAAGGGGAAATTACAAATTTCTGATTCGCTGTGGCAAATTATCTATTAGCTGTGATTTTCCATGGTTGATAATAAAACACTAACTCCTCATGGAAAGTGACAGCTAGGTATCTCAATTTTCAAAACAGTGGTATGTAGTCATCTGCCATTTTTATGTATATATTTTTAAAAGTGTGATTAAAAAATTCTCCAAAATATTATAACTTTTTTCAAAGAGCCTTTTCCGTAATAAATGTCTCTGTGCAGTGTGGAAAAAGATTTACGAAATCAGTCTTCCCCCTGCATGATATTGGGTGACAGGCTGCCATTTGTCACCCTAAATCAGATACATTTTACAATTTCTTGTTATTCAATTTATTCTGAATATAAATTAAAAATGTTCTTCGAAAAAATTAAGAATTTCTTCTACTTTTTTTTGATTATTCATTCATAATTTTTCAAAACTTCTGCATGATGCAGAACTCAATTGACAATTTCAGATGGCAAAAGATGAAAAAAAACATCGAGATAACTTTCGAAAGATAGTACACCCGGGCCTTAATGTAATAAAAATTCATTCAATTAATCAATTCATTAATTAATCAATTCATGAACCAATTAACTAATTGATTACTCTCAATAACGTTAATTTCTCAATTGATAAAAATTTCGTGGATGAAAGAATTGAAATAAAAAATTAAATTTGCTGTTGAATTTTGCTATCAATTATCTTACAGTGAGGGCTTGGATGGTGGCAAGATAGATCATTGCCAGATTTTCCTCGTCAGACGACAGAGAAAGCCCTGAGATCATGCCTTGCAGGGTGGAATCAGCCAGGGGCGATCTGTTCCCATGAAAATCCGGCCACACGTGCAATTCCTTAGTGAGATACGAAACATCTGGGAAATTTCGTTGATCAGCCATTGTTCGTAATAAGTTCGATAAATACTGTTGGATGTGCCTGTCAAAATATTTTGAAAAGTGATAATGTCAATTCAGTAGCGAAGTGGTAAAACGAGATAAATCAATTTTGACTATTGACCAGTTTTCAATTGATATTTCGTAATCTAAGAGAGATAGTGTTCAATATAATGATGATAGATCCCACACTAACACACACAGCACACAAACACTAGTACAAACACACACATACACAGTTGTCAGGCAAGCGCCAATCAAAACCATCAAGCTGTATCAGTTACATCGCATAAATCCTTCTGAACAGACGTGCTCTCTTTCGTTCTCCTGTTACTGATAAAGTATCCCTACAGTTCTGGTCACACATTCCACTCATTCCAACAGGTAGCGAAATTTTCGTGATTACATTTGCTGTAGCCCTCAATCGGCTCCACAAAAAAGGTTATAACAAAATTTTCACCATCTCCCTTAGATTCCGTGATATTGACTTTCTTACCGCTTCGCTACTGAATTAGACAATCATAATTTCTGATTTGATTGGACAATAATTATTAGTTATTATCCGATCATTTTAATTGTCATTAAACGGTCGATCATTACTTTTAAAAAAGTGATGATCGTTGACATTAAGAATTACGAATTCTAAGCGAATTGAGAGATTTATAATGAATCGGCATGACTGATTTGATTGGAAAGTCATCAATTATGTTATTCAATTTATTCAGTCTTTATTTTCGTCATTAAATTCAATTACTCATTCCATTCTATTATTATTCAATACCTTAAGGATTCTTACATCTTTCCGTAGATTTTTTTTCGAATCGAACTAACAGCAGGATGAATTTCAATGACGTGATCCAGTAATTTTCCAGTGGCACTCTGTCCTCCTTCATTGAGCCACAGGGAAGGGACCATTGCGCTGTAATAAGGGCCCCAGATGCCCTCCACAAACGTCGGCTTTTCACTCACTGCCATGTGACACGTGGAGGTGCCACAAATGAGCCCTGGAGGAGATAATTAATTAATTAAATGAAAATTCCAAGTAACAATGGAATTTTACGTTTTGTTAATCACTTAATTGTCTTGAAACGAATGATTTAGGAGGACAATGTCGGACACTCTCGTTGGAATAATAAAGATTCCCTCTACACTGAAAGAAAAACGACAAAGTTCTCAAACAAGTGTTACTTGTACCAAGAAAATAGTTTTTTGAAAATTATCAAAAGAGGATTTTTTTGTGCTAAACATGCAGAGAGTGAGCCGGACTGAAAAATTTTTGTCGCAAAAATAGATTTTGTAGGCCAAAAAAAATTGCATTCTCTATACACGCAAGAAATGCCATTTCTAGCAGTACTCCTTCGTTATTCGATACTCCCATACGTATTGTGCTCCCGAAAAATCTTTGTTTTATGCGAAACAAGGGAGAGTAGTTTTTTATTTCGGCTGTCTAATAATCACAGACAAGAAATGAACCCTCAAATTAAACACTAATAATAATGATATGATAGCAATCTTGTAACTTAGGGATAAAATATTAGTTGATAAATTTTCCTCCATATGAGATATTTTCATCCTGAAAAGGCACCGTCTGGTGTGAATTATCTGCTTCTCGAGTCAAATATTTCGTTGCTGTCGAAAGCAGAACAATTATTCATGTTTGAGGCTTTCAAATTCGAGCCAAACAAATTCTTTTTTGGCAATTTTCAACTAGAGATTTTGTTGGCCCACACAAGACTTGTTTGACAACGTCTTTGTTTTTCTCTCAGTATAGACGAAAGGTATTTTTACATTCGCAAATGGTTACATAATTTTGTAATAAAAAAATGTGAATTAATTGAATTAATAGAGGTCTTTGAGATGTGACAAATAATGTACCTAATCTGCTGGTGAAATTATCGGATATATTAGGAGCAGAGCAGCCAATCATCCCCAGACCTCCAGCATGAGCATCGATTATTGATGTACCGACAGGAGTTCCTTCTGCTAATCCCAACTCGACTGCAGCTGTTCGGGATAAGCCTTTTCCTACTGCTTCCCCAGGGGCTTTCACCTCATTTCCTAGATTAATATTCATTAACAATTAATAACCAATTGACAATTGTTTAACATTGACAATTAATAAAGTTAAATTTCATAAAAATCTGGAGTCAATCGTCAGTTAAATTTTTTTCATTTTCGATTTGTTGGATTATCTCCACAACGAGTACCTTTGAGAAAAAAAGTCATAAGAAATTTTCTATTCCAAATTTAATTCTGCACAAAAAAGTTTTTCTGACATTTTCCCCTAAACGCACTCCTCAAGATAATTGGACAATTAATAAACTTCAATTTCATGAAAATCTCAATTCAATCATCAATTAAATTTCTCACTTTGAAGAAATAACTCATAAAACATTCTTGAAATAAATTCATGGAAAACTTATTGAAAATAACACATTTAAATGAGGAAATTTTTGAATGATAAAATTATTGGAGTAAATTTTAAATGTTTGTAATGAATAATTATAAAAAAATGTTGAATATTCAGTACCAATTCTCTTCCAATTATTTTCCTTCAATACTGAGAGTCCAATTTCATTGAAAAACTCCTCATTCCATCCGTTTTTACCATCAGGATTGGCTGTGTAATTCCATTTGCATACGAGAGAGCAGAGAGACCTGATGGAAATTAATTTCTATGAATTTTTGGTAATGATTTATCAGCTGGAATAATTGATGAGGATCTCTACCTAAATTCCGAGCCAGTCGCCTTCCAGGTGAGAAAATCCGGAAGATCGAACATCAATTTCACTCGATTCCAAGTGTCTGGAAGATTTTTCTTCAGCCACAGAATTTTGGGAATTTCCATTTCGAGGGAGATCTTTCCTCCGACGTATTTCAGGACTTTATTGCCCATCATATTGATGAAATTGGCCTCTGCCTCTGCCCTGTGGTCCAGCCACAGGATAACGTTACGTCTATCATCCCCTGAAAAAATGAAAATTTTTGGAATTTTCCCTGATCTTTTATTGTTGAGTGATGCCCGGAGAAAACGTTAATGGGAATATTCGTAGGAAATCTAATGAGATATAAAAAATGTCATATGGCATTCTCTCCGGAAATTACTCCTCGAGATAATTGGGTAATTAATAAAGTTGGATTTAATAAAAATCTGGAGTCGTGCGTTAGTTCAATTTTTTACTTTTTCTATTTGTTGAATTATCGCCATTACGAGTCACTTTAATGAAAAAAGTCATAAAACATGTTTATACCAAATTTAATTGTCTGCAAAAAATAATTTTCGAGATTTTCTCCTAAACCCACTCCTTCTGAAGATAATTGGACGTTTAATACACTTGGATTTCATAAAAATCTGAAGTTATGCGTCAGTTCATTTTTTTACTTTTTCCATTTGTTGAGCTATCTCAATAACGAGTAAATTTGAAGAAAAAAAGTTATAAAAAATTTTTTATTCGAAATTTAATTCTCTACAAAAAAGATGTTTTGACATTTTCTTCTAAAACCATTCTCCCGGAGACAAATCTCCAATTACCAAAAACTCGATGAAAACAAAAATTTCCCACATTACGTAAACCATAAATTGATTTTTTACCATTCAAACTCGCTGTAACAGGCTCTCCAGCTCCATCCAGAAGCACCAGAGAGCATGTCGCATCGAACCCAATTCCCTTGATATATTCCTTAGGCGTTCCACTGACAACATTCTACACAAATTTAAAATAGTATATTTCGTAACGAGCTAAAAAACATTTTTTCACGAGTTACGAACAATATTTTTCATCACAATGTGGCGGAAATTGGACTTTTAGGCACGCGGAGCGTGCCGAAAAGATCACTTTTCGTCACAGTGTGATGACAAAATTATTTTAAGAACTCGAGAACATGAAACAATGTTTTCAAAAATCTGCATGAGACAGGAATATTAATTAATTCTTCAATGAATGCTCCTAATATATTTCTTAAACACTCCATTACCAACATTCTACACAAACAAAAAAAAACTATTAAAAAAATCCAGAACATGAAACAAATTGGTCAAAAATCCTGAAAGAATTTTATAAAAAAATCGTCGTGAAACAGAATTATTAATCAATTCTTCAATGAATGGCCCTGGTAGATTAAAAAAAAATTACATTATCAACATTTGACGCAAACAAAAAAACAATTTTAAGAAATCCAGATCATGAAGCAAATTTTTCAACAATCTTCAAAAAATCTCTTCAAAAATAGCAATGAAAATTCCCAAAAATCTTCATCGAACCCGAATATTAATGAATTTTCCAATGACCTTGACAACTTTCTTGACAGAATCCCAGATATCCTCCGAAGACTGTTCGTAAAAATCCGGAACAGAATTAAAAGTCTCAATGGGATTGTTAGAGATTTTAATTAACTTCCCATCGGCGTTGAAAAGTGCAGCCCTGGTACTGCCAGTCCCCACGTCAACCCCGACATAGTAATTCATGATGCTTTCCGACTGTCTTCCAGCGTCCAACTATAGACCTCAAGTTCAATAAAAGCTGGGACTCCTACTATCTCATGTTTTCCGAGGGATAAAAGTCTCATTTGGCTCTGAAACGTATTACATTTATCGTTAACACTTGCGACCTCTGATAACGCGCAGAAATTACTGCATAAGAACGTTTTTTCGATTTTTTTTTTTCGTTGGGGAGACTGGGGCAATATGGGCTACCGTCGATTGTTGATTGTTCGATAATAACGTAAATTTCTGCAATTTTCGGTGTTTTCGTGATTTTTTTGTTTTTTTTCTGAGAATCGAAGGATATTTGAATCGCTTAAGCGATTTGTTTGTTCAGATGATGTTGAAGACCTGGCAAATTATTCTATTCAATTCAATTAATCTATTTCCCTCATGTTGCGAAAGTTTTTTCTTTGTTTTAAATCAGCAATGGCCTTTCTCCTTCCCCTCATATAGATAAAAATACATAGATCAGTATAATTATACTGTATAGATAATTATACATAATTAGAATTAGATATTATAGTGTTTGATAGATTTTGCTAGTTTTATTTTCTCATAATTTAATGGTGTTCTGGCGCAGAAAGACTTTCTCCTGATCAATTCAATTTTTTTTTTACTTCGAAAATATTAAACTCAAATTTCCCAGGGCATTCAATATTTCAAATTTCCTAGAATTCAATTTCTACGCGCGTAAATCGTTTTATTGTGGGTCTTCGGTGAAATATTTTAATCCCTCGTGTCTTCTTCACAATAATCGAATTTTTCCCGTCATTTGTCACGGTCAGTACAGTTGTTGTCTTTTTCGAAAACAAAGATTATGTTACGGTCGATATTTTCCCGAATTCTGGAAATTTTAATCATCGCTCTCGATACTCTAATCCTCGTTAATCCCTCCACTCAAAACAGTTGTCACGTTTGAGTTGGTTTATGACTCCAAACATAAGGGCCTTTCTTTCACCTTTGTGATTATTACCCTCAGCAGTCCCTAACGATCGGTTTTTCCGGGCCTCATGGATTCCTTGAATTTTCCCATACCTCATTTCCAGGAATCCACACGGACTCAACTTCACTCCAACGCTTCCCTTCGGTCCCCGCCTCCGAACCAATAGGAACGTTGCATTTGCAATGTCGGAAAATTTGTACCGCTGAGCCAACCAAAATAGTTTGCAATATACACCTCTCTTCATGGTCCGTGTTCTTTCACGAAAATACTAAATTCTCGCATTTTTATCATAGACCTATCCTACTGTGAAACAGCCGGCGCCAGAAACCTTAACTAACTAACTAAGTATCCTACTGTATGCCTGCCCCATATGGAGCAACACATTTAAATCTAATTACAAGAAGTTACAAACTATTCAAAATAAATGTTTACGAATGTTAACAAATGCGGAACCGCGAACGAACAACTGTGATATCCATAACAATCTAAGTATTCCTAACTTAACTGATAAAATAAAAGAACATACAATAAATTTTTACCAATCTAAACTTAACAATCTCAAAATACTCGAAAATGTCTGTAACACAGCACATAAAATGTATAATAAATACAAAGTACCACATCAAATACTGCTTGATGCAGAGCCAAACATATAATTCATGCAACATGCAAACTGCAAAATAGTGTAAAACAACAAAAATAAGTTCTACTTAGGTTTTCCTTTGAAACTTTTCCTAAAAACATTATATATTATATATTAGATACATCAAATGTAATTCTATTAAAACAAAAACCATAAATATTTCAAAATTGAGTTAAGCCATCGAGCAGGAATCAAACTATCAAACCTCTTCTCTCTCCGTATATAAATATGTATATATGTACAAATATTTTAGTATCAATAAAAACCTTTAAAAACTAAAAAAAAAACTTTTCATCATAAGTAACACATCGGTTAACTTGAACAGCATTAACTAAATTGTTTTGTTCAAGGATTAAAACGAATTACATCGCGTCCGATTACGTTCGACATACGTCTTTGGACATAACCAATTTTCTTTCGCTCATCGCGACATTATCGAGCATTCGACGGATTCCCCCTCGATACCTCTGAACATTTTTATTCCACCTTTTGATATCCGTTTAATAATTCAATTTTCTATTCTTCATAAACATTGTTTTGTATCAAAATAAATTGAGTGCAGTGAATAAATTATAAAACATTTTTTAAACCAACGAACTCTTAATTATTTAAAAACAAAACATTCCCACAATCACCTCCTCAGTATCTTGATACTGTGCGAGTGAACAAATGGCTTTAAGGTGTTTCCCTCAAATGAGTTTTTTCCTTGGCCCTCGGCGACCTCGGTACAGAGGATTGGAGGGGGGGGGGGAAGAAATCGTAAAAACCTGAGAGGGTATATGAAAGAACAAAGAATACTTAGTAGCCAATCATAATAGTATGTACATAAAGTCGTTTAGATTCGCGTTTTATACGTCGATTTTACGTCCCTATGCATTTCCGGACAAAATTCTAAATAACTCAATTATTTTTTTATTGAAAAATAACCTAATTTATTGTTCGATTCATCACTGCCATTAGACCCTTGCGATAACTGAGTTTGTCTCTCCCGGTTGACCCTTGCGATTACTCTATTCATCGCTCCCATTAGACTCTTGCGATAATTACGTTCGTCTATGCCGTTTGACCCTTGCGATTACTCGATACATCGCTCCCATTGGACTCTTGCGATAATTGTGTTTTCGTCTCCCCTGTTTGACTCTTGCGATTACTCGATTCATCACTCCCATTAGACTCTTGCGATAACTGTGTTTGTCTCTCCCGTTTAACCCTTGCGATCACCCCCCTCAATAAATGTTGGCCCAGCAACGAGACCATGGAACCCGTCCTCAGGTTTAGAGTTATGGAAAGTGTCCATGGACTCCCAAATCTGAGATTTGAGAGCCATGGCCATGCCCCCAGGCACCAATATTTATGGCGACTGACGTACGTAAACTATAATGGTGTACAAACTATTTTAACGACCAACAACGGAGAAAAATATGTTTAATTACCTTATTCTCATATCTTACATTCCATTGATTAAGGGGAGACCGCGGTGAAATTTGATAGTCTCTGGGTATTATAGATACGATTGTAACAGTTTATATGTTTTGTAAGTAAATAAAAAGTGAGAAAAAATCCAACTCCAAGATTTTCGGAAGGTCCTAAAGGGTCAGAACGGGTCAAAATCTACAAAAACGTCCTAGAACCTCTATTTTCCACCGATTGAGCTGAAATTTGTAAGAGGAGGATATTTGTGATCACTCAAAAAATATATTCTCAAAATTTCAATCTCTGCAGTCCATTTCGTTCTCCTCACATATACTCATGGTCAGATGCATGCTATCCTTGTCTGATCCATTGAAAAGTGGGTGGCAACTTGGCACCTTTAGTTCGTGAATTGACCGAAAAACTTCCTCATGTAACGGCCCCCAATACTGTGGCTCTTCAATTTTTTTTTATTAACAATGTTTTTATTTATACAACAAGAATTATTTACACTATTTACATTTATAAAAACTTAGTTTAGAAAAAATTAATGCACAGTATTGTATTTTTATATAAACTAATGGCCATAATTAGTGGCTCTCAAGTTTGAAGTGTTATGAAGATTTAAATTTCTGTTTGGATAATAAACATAGTAGTTATTAATTAATAATTTTATACATTATTATCACATGTGAACAGTATTTGTTTTTTGTTTATTAACTACTGTGCCCAAAAAACGGAATGTATTTAGTTTGCTAGAATTGTTCTTTAAAAAAAAAGGCACTAACGTATTTGCAGATTAGATGTAAATTTTAATTACTAATAAATAATCCTGAGGATCATAACAGGGTATTAAATTTTAAATATTTATGTGTGTTGAGGGTCATGGGTAAGACCATGGCAGACAGCAATGATTTATATTTATTCATTTTTATGCAAATGATTATCTTTTTTTTTTTAATTTGAATTAGGTTCGTTCAATTTTTATATTATTTGATGAGTAATTGTATTCTTTATGGAGGTCTGAAATTTTGCCTATTTAAACGATTTCTAATTCCATTTCTGTTATTATGGTTATTATGCTCTTTGTGGACCTGCTGACGTATTTTAAGGGGAGACGGAGCCCCTTTGTCTACATCAAATTTTAGAATTGTTTTCTCCTACAATTATTAATTTCTATCTATGAAATTACTTTATCGACTCGATTATCGCATTGTTGAGTCAATGAAGTAGTTTAATGAATAAAAAATAATAATTGTAGGAGAAAACACAATTCTAAACAGAGATTATAGGGGAGAGATCAGCAGGGCCAATGTAAAGTGTTCAACAGCAATATACGTAGCGGTGGCGCATGGACTACGATGGAGCNCAGAGATTATAGGGGAGATGAACAGGGCCAATGTAAAGTGTTCAACAACAAAAATTGTAGCGGTGGCGCATGGACTACGATGGAGCGTACGGAACTGTTGGTATGATAGGGCCCGAGCATAAATTTGTCGATAACCGGAAAGGGGTTCTCAATACGGTAGCTCCTCTATAGTTTTCCAGTGATTGTATTGGATAATTGTGCAGATTTTGTTTTTTTTTACTATAGTAATGTTCGATTATATATAATTATTCCCCCCTGAGTGAGAAAGGAATATGTATCGCACTCGCTCCCACTCATTGTCGTCTCCGTCGCGTTGGCACGTGCCCGTCCTCCGCCAAACTTAACGAGTGCGAGTGAGAAAGAAAATGGAGAAGAAGGAGAGAGAAAACATTCCAACTCGTTTGAACGGTTGGAACGTTTTCGTTGTTCTCCAGCGATCTACACATAATGGGATTAATTCAATAATAATAGATTAATGAATAAGATTTTTCGCAGATTATTGCGAGATTTAGATGAATGGTTTGCCTCCTTCAGTGACCATAAAAAATTGTCTCCAATCGACAATATCTCCCGATGGAATGGAACGATGTGAATGAATCAAGTATCAATTTGAATCTTTAAAAAATTAATCGAGAGTGAAAAAAAATCCGGGAATTCCACTCTGACATTTCTCTATTATCTGTATTTACCGAGAAAAAAAACGTTGTTCCTAGGAATCGATGTG